CCACCCCCCGCTTAGCCACTGGAGCGACGTCCCTCTGCGGAGCCGACTTCTAAAAGGTCTGATTTTGTGCTCCACGGCTCTAGCACTTGCCAGAAGTGGCCGATGGAGGCCCCCTTCCCCGCCGTCTATCCTCCCGAATATCGCCTCGGATTCACTTCTCCGCATGTCCTACCTTCCAGTAAGTGGTCGCTTCTCTGTTCAGAGAGTTGTTGCTACTCTCTTCTTCGATCTCCTGTTGAGTTCGTAGGTGTTCAGAATGGTTTGATCCCTATTCAGCTGAATTCCTGAGACCAGACGAAATCCAGGTCTCCTACTGCTCCGCCCCCCTCTACATGTTTCTTTTCAAGGGGGGAATTCTGAAGACACTGTACCCCTCAGCTAGCTCATTTGTCTCATGGTCTGTTTATAATAAATTCTCTACAACCGACCAACAGGTAATCTTAATAGTGTAGCTAATACTGAAGCCTTACTATCCATGAAACGGATTTAGTGGCTTTTCCCACATTACTTCTTATATCTTTCCAATGCTGTATGAGGTGGCCAGTGTTATTACTCTCATTTTACAGTCCGGACTTGGGATACAAAGAGGTGAATTGAGGTGCCTAAGGAAGTGGTAAAGCCGGGGTCCCCCTTTTACCTACTATGGAGCTCTGTCACCTCACGTAGAATCTTCCTGCCCTGATGTGCATATTGCACATTCCTGCCTCAGCTAGGAGACTAATGCAGCTTTCCTCAGCTTGACACCATTCCTTCCTCCTCCCTGTTTAGCCAATTCACAGCCATCCTGAGGGTCCAGCTCAAGCCTTACCTCTGGAAAGCACGTTCCAATTTGCCTGATTTGTGGGGCTCCCCCGCCTCTCTGGTCCACTGTAGCATTGGTTCATGCTAGGAAGCCTGTTTGTGCAAAGGCCCAGAAGTGTGTTAGAGGAGCTGCAGAAGTTCAGGAGAGGCATGAAGGCAGAAGCAGGGAGGGTGGTAGGGAGGGATAATGGTTTTGTTTAGACTTACCCTAGGGTAATGAGAAGCATGGAAGGGCCGTTGGTATGGCTTGATCAGAATGGCATTTGAGAAAGGTCACTGCACCTCAAATAACTGATTGGGGTTGACTGGGGTCAAATCTAAGGCTTGGGAGAATAGAAAAGAGGCTGCGTCTGGTGCGTAGGTGGGAGGAGGTGACCTGGATTCAGCTGGTGTGAGGGAGAAAGATGGGTCAGGAGACACTTGGTTGACTGCTTAGATATGGAGGCTGTGACCTCTGATGTCAGACTTAAAGGCCAGAAATTTTTAGATGCATTTCTTAAAAATAGACTTTATTTTTTAGAGCAGTTTTAGGGTTCCAAAAAAATGAATGGAAAGTACAGAGAGTTCCCCACGTGGCCCTTTCTCCACCTCCTCCTTGTCCCGCAGTTTCCCCTATTATCAACATCTTGCATTAGTGTGGGGCCTTTGTTATCACTGATATGCCAATATTGATAAATCATCATTAACTGAAGTTCATAGTTTACCTTAGGGCTCACGCTAAGTGCTGTACTCTTCTATGCATTTTGACACATATATAATGTCATGTACCCTTCATTACAGTATTAAAGAGTTTCACTTCCACAAAAAGTCCTCTGTGGCTCCGCCTACTTCTTGCTCCCTTCCTACTAACCCCTAACCCCTGGGAACCACTGCTCTTTTTACTGTCTCTAGAGTTTAGTCCCCACCAGAATCACATATGATTGGAATCATGTCATACATAGCCTTTCCAGGTTGGCTTGTTTCACTTAGTCTGATATGCATTTAAAGTTCCTCCATGGCTTTTCGTGGCTTGATCTTTTCTTTTTTATTGCTGAGTAACATCACATTATATGGATGTACCACAAGCTTTTATGCATTTACCTACTGAAGGACATCTTAGTTGCTTCCAAATTCTGGCAAGCTGGAGCAGGTTTTTGTGTGAACGTAAGTTTCTAATTCCTTTGGGTAAATACCAAGGAGCGTGACTGCTGGCTCATATGGTGGTTTTGTAAGAAACTGCTGAACTGTCTTCCAAAATGACTGTATCGACTTACATTCCCACCCGCACGAATGAGAGTTCCTGTTGCTCCACATCCTCGCCAGCATTTGGCGTCAGTATTCTGGATTTGGGCCATTCTTACAGATGTGTAGTGGTATCTCACTGTTTTCTGTTTTTTTTTTTTTAAGTTTTATTTATTTAAGTAATCTCTATACCCAATATGGGGCTCAAACTCACAACCCCGAGATCAAGAGTCACATGGTCTTCTGACTGAGCCAGCCAGGTGCCCCAGTATCTTACTGTTTTAATTTGTAATTCCCTGATGACACATGATGTGGAACATCTTTCATACACTCATTAGTCATCTTGATATCTTCTTTGGCGAGGTGTCTGTTCAGACCTTTTGACCACATTTTAATTGAGTTGTTCACTTATTGTCAAATTTTGAGTTCTTTAGACTCATTTCTTTATTGTTTACTTAGTGTGGGCCTTCTCTCTTCCCTTCACGTTTCCTCAGTTCTGCTCACTCCTGATTCCCACTTGTGATCTTTCTTCCTGCAGAGAGACAACTCAACATCAGAGAAGCAGGCTCTTTGCCCAGCAGCAGAAGAAAGGATGCTGTTAGAGCATCTCAGGGAAATACAAGACATATTTTGAATACTTGGTTAAAAGCACTAAGTTTGATAAAGACACACACACACACACACTCACACACTCACAGTCTTTCAGCTATAGATTTACATATACAATGGGAACTGTGAATGCCGGGTAGTATATTTTTGTAGTCAAATGACTGGGAAAAGGGATGTATCCTACAAGGCTACAGAATAATCACCTGAATTGTTGCAAGCCTATCCTTTGGCCATTGAGGTGGAGTGCAGGGTGGGGTGTCAAAATATGGTGTTTCTCCCGATTGGATGGGGGCCCCAAATGTGGGGCAATGATCCATTGGGTGGAAGCAAGTGGCGACGGCAGTGAGGTGGTTTCCTGAGGGGCCCGTCTGTATTCAGCCAGGTGATCACTGTGGGCCCTTTCTACATTCCATCGTTCAAGCCTATTTGTCTAAAAGCAGCCTTTACACAGAGGTCTGATTTAACTAGTAAAGTACTTTAGGGATAAAGCTCAGAATGGTAGATTGAATCCCTTCAGTCTACCCTTCAATCTAACCCTTGAGAGGCTATTTTATTTTAAAGTGACAGGGGAGCCATTGAGGGTTATTGAGCAGGAGTGGAAAAGGATCAGGCTGCTGCCTTCCGTAGCCTATGCTGATTACACAGTAATTATGCATTACTGAAAAGTCACCAGGGTTAAAAAAACAATTGGAGCCTAAATGCTCCATCTTAGGAATTCTCCAACCCCCCTTCCCTCTTTATAAATTGGGGTTCTTTCCTCCAAAACTGATGTGATTATAGGAGATAGTACGTAAAGTAGCATTATCTCATTTAATTCTTAAAACCACCCTTCCTCATTTATTTCTCATGACTCATTGAATTATTTTATTTCATTTAATACCCAGACCTCCTTGGAAGTCTGGGGTGTGGAGGACTAGTACCCAGGGCTGCTTTACCAGGCTCTCACCTCCAGGCTTTTCTTATTTGGTACAATCATGATGATAATAATTTTTTCAACAGGCCAGGCAGTTTGTTAAGTGCTGTACATGCATCAGTTCACTTAAACTCCACAGAATTATTAATATTCCCAATTAGTCAATATGGACACAGATTCAGACAATGTACTTTGCCCAAGGTCACCTAGCAATTAAATGAGGCAAGCAAGGCTTGTATTCAAACCGTGGCTTATCTAGCTAGCCCCTGTGCTCCTAACCATTAACTATACAAGGGCAGCCTTCCAAGCACTTTGTCAGGCCTTCTATTGGAGTATTGACAGCATAGCATTGGAATCAGGTCACCAGGTAGTCTCTCGCACTAGACTGAGTGTCTGAGACCAAGAACTCGTCTCAGTCTCCTTTGCTCCCCCAGCACCTTGCACTGCACTCGGCACACATTGGGCTCTTAATTCGTTCTTTCTGCAAATACTTACGGCGTGTTTGCTATGAACCACGCGCTACACTAGTCCTAGGGAAATATGACAGTCTTGCCCACATAGACCCCTTCGGTACCAATATAGAGAGAATATAATTTTAACATTGGGTAAGCATGCATGTAAGGTACAAGCGACTGCCAAGTCTGGACAGGATTTCACACAGATTCATAGAGAAAAAGCAAAGAGAACAATTCAAACTTCTTTCTCAAGAACAAGGGGATGCACCTTATGACTGACCCTCGTGTTTCTTGTGAGCAAGACATTTCCCTTGAGCTACTTCCTTAGGTAATGTTTATAGCTCCAAGGGTTAGAATGCCCACAAATTGGCATTGCAGTAGAGATGACGCCTTTTGTCGGGTTTATTAAATTCTCAAGGTAACACCTCCCAGAAGGAGGGTTAGGTAGGCAGCTGCACCCTTCCTGAAAGAAAACTGCATTACTGCAGCCTTGCACTAGTCATGGGGGTTGCAGCATTAGACTAGGACTTGCTCCCTTGGCTCTTACATTCCCGTATAACTTCAGACAGCGGGCAGGTGGTCTGGGGGAGAGAAGGGCCATTTCCGGCAGAGAGTTAAAGCCTCTACCAAGCGGTGATCTTGAGCTGGAATTTTGGAACTTTAATAAATGTTTAAAGAACGAATGAATGACGAATGACCATCGAGCTCGCGGTTGTCAAGAAGCTAAAGAACGTCTCTGGCGTCAGAATCGTAATGAAAAGGAGAAAGGGAAAAGAAACAGGATTGTCGGAGAACGGCATTTTCAGAGCAACCAAGATCGAAGAGGGATTCCCGCTACAGGTTCCAGCGCCGGGGAGTGGGAGTGGGGGGCCGGGAGAAGCCCAGGAAGGCCTGACCCGCGGACCCGCGGACCGGCGGTTCCGGGGCCACGGCTGGGGGCGGGGCCACGCGGGGGCGGGGCTACGGAAGCCGAGCGGGTTGCGAGGTGTTTGGCTGAGGAAGTGTGCGCAGGCCTGCGGCGCTGGGCGGGCTCAGGCCCTCCACCGCTGGCCCCCCCGCGCTCCCCACCCACGCCCTCACATATTCGCCCTCGCCGCCGTTCCCAGGGCGGAGACACAAGCTTTTAGTCGTTCGGCGGCTTCGGTTGGTGCGGTGGCGTGAGGGGCTCACTGCGGCGTGTGGTCGGCGCCGGCTGGGCCGTTGCGCGCCTACCCTCCCGGCCGGCCGTGGGGGGATTCGGGCATCAGCCGAGCTCCTGCCGGTGTTCCCTGGCCGGTCCCGGGTATCCCGGCAGCGCTTCGACGGCGGCTTCGCGGGACCCGCGGACCGGGTCGCAGCCCGAGCCCCGAGCGGACGGCGTCATGAGGCACCTGCCGTACTTCTGCCGCGGCCAGGTGGTGCGGGGCTTCGGCCGTGGCTCCAAGCAGCTGGGCATCCCCACAGGTGAGCGCGGAGGGTCGCGGCCCTCCCCCCCCCCTCGGCGCACCCCCCCTCCGCCCCCGGCTCCCGGGGTTGGGTCAGGTGGGAGCCGGGACGTCAGACGCGGGACTTGGGGCGGGCAGAGTGACGCCCTCCACTCTGCTCGGCTCTTGCTTTGTTGAGGCGGAGGATCTTTGTTCGGATTGAGGAAGCTCGTCCTCACCCACCGCTCGGGGCTCACCGGGGACCGGCTTGGGGGGTGGTAAGGGCAGAAAGCCGAGCTGAGTTTCGGGATTCCCCCTTTCCCGCCTCCCTATCCAACCAGGCTAGAGCTGCCAGGCATGGCACGCGTCATCCCCATTAAATGGAAACGTAATGTGAACCAGATTGGTTAAATTTCCAGGCCAACTGTAAGGTTTTTTTTCTCTTTGTATGTCTTGTTAGCAATTGGATGAGAATCAGTTATCTTTTTTGGTCTGTCTGTATTCGGTTCAGTAGTCAGGACCTGACTGTATGAAGAATTCATCCTTAGAAATACGTACCAGGGTTGTTCCTAGTCTTTGCGTTTGGGACCCAGCCACGTATATTTTGGAAAATATAGAATGGTGAGACTGATAATCATAGGCAGGATTCCGGGAAACTTATGAGCATAACAATTCAGGCTAGCCTTCCTGCGATTTTTATAAATATTTGCTGTGAAACTGTTAACACTCAGAATATTATTTCTGTTACTTAGCTAACTTTCCGGAACAAGTAGTTGATAATCTTCCAGCTGATGTATCGACTGGCATTTATTATGGCTGGGCCAGTGTTGGAAATGGAGATGTTCATAAGATGGTGGTGAGCATAGGATGGAACCCATACTACAAGAATACAAAAAAGTCTATGGTAAGAATTATATTATATAATAATTGTGTTATATATATATAAAGAATTATATTTAGAAAATGGGATAGTAATTTAAGTTAATATTCAGTATTAGATGCACAAAGAAATCATCAGTGGTATTCACAAATTGGCCAAATTACTGGAATTTTTGGCAGTTTTCTTGAAGGATTTTCAAAAGTGAAGTGTTTAGTTACTGTTTGGATTAACTCTTCGTCCTTTCACTTTCAGTGTGTTTGTGTCTTTCGATCTTAAAGTGAGTCTTACAAAATAAAGTGAGTCTCTTGTAAAAGGGGAAGTATAATTGGATTGTGCTTTTTGATCATTGTTAATCTCTGCCTTTTCATTGGAGAGTTCAGTCCATTTACATATAAGCTAATGACGTGTAAGGAGGGACTTCTGCCATTTTGCGGTTTTCTGTAGGCCTTACAGCTTTTTTGTTTATTTCTTCCCTTACTGCCTTTTGTTTTTTAACCTTTTTTTTGTAGGGACACATTTTGATTCTCTTACTTCCTTTTGTGTACTTTCTATAAAATTTTTGTGTGTGTGTGGTTACCATGAGGAGTGCATTTAACTTTCTACAGTTATAAAATCTAATTTGGATTTATGACAATTTTGATAGTTCATAAAACTCACAAATTACATCCTTATACATTGTGTGCCCAATAACATTAATATTTTCATGCATATATCTTTTAAATCATGTAGAAAATAAAAAGTGGAGTTTCAAGCCTAATTGTAATATTAATTTTTATAGCTATCCATGTGTTTACCTCAACTGGAGATAAAAGTGAATTACTTGGGGCACCTGGGTAGCTCAGTCGGTTAAGCGTCTGCCTCTTGATTTCAGCTCAGGTCATGATCTCAGGGTGGTGAGATGGAGCCCCTCGTCAGTTCTGTGCTGGGCATGGAGCCTGCTTAAGATTCTCTCTCTCCCTCTCCTTCTGCATTCCCCTTAAAAAAAAAAAGTGAATTACCTAAGAGCATGTTTGATAAAATTGAGCTTGCTACAGTTGATATAGTTCATTCACCCTTTAATTAATTGCTCACCCTGCTAAGATAGAAATGCTTTCTCCATAGATGGTGCTTTCTAATAAAATCGCAAGGTGATGCTTTTTTTTTTCCTCTCAAACTACTTTGAGGGTGTACCCTTCTGCTCTTTTCGTAGTACCCATGCCATTAAGAGCTTAATCTGCTAGATAGGGCTGGATCTTGGTCAGGTTAAGTGTGTGGCAAAAACGAGTAGATCTAAATTTCGTCCTTTTTGAAGGGTTTGTAGAAGTCTGTCACAGTTGGAAAACCACAGGGCTAAATCCTGGTACAAACAGAAATGGTGCAGAATTGCTTAACATTGTGTTCAGTGTTTCTTAGTTTTGAGTATTAAGGATGTGGAAATTATTTGGAGTAGATAAAGAAAAGAACTAATACAAGAACACAAAATAGTTTTCTGTAGATGGGGAGGAAATGAAGAGTAGAGGGAAAGCTATTCCATGATAAATTTCAGGTAACAGGACTATTACTGTAGCAAGCCAGTGAAGGAATGCCTTCCAAGTCCTGCCAGAGTTAGAAGAAACTCAATATTCTATTGGTAGGAGGTTCATACTCTTCAGGTTTTCTTTTTCCTTTTCTTGCCAATATCAGATATCTATGATATGCCTGTTGAAGTCTTTTCCCCTTTTAAAAAAAATTGGATTGGCAGTTTTAATTGACTTAAAGAAGTTCTTTAGTATGTCCTAGATGCGCTTCCTTTGTTGGAATATGTATGCAAATATTGTCGCCTTCTGTGTTGCTTTTTTTTGTTTGTTTTAATGGAGTGGTGTCTTTTGAAGAACAGAGGGTCTTAATGCTAATATAATCCAATTCATCATTTCTCTTTTATGGTTTAGTGCCTTTTATATCCTATTTAAGGAATCTTTGCCTACTCCAAGTCATAAAGATACCTTTGTTTTCTTCTAAAAACTTGTCTTAAACTTTTCTCATCAAATTGATTTTTGAGTATGGTGCAAAGTAAGGGTCAAAATTAATTTTTTCCCATTTGGATATTGACTCAGCCCATTTCTTGAAATACCATTCTTTCATGACAGCACTGCACTGTCACCCTGGGCATAAACCCTGTGACTTTATATGTGTGAGAGTCCAAAATGTGCTCATACAGGCTTGGTCTCCTGATCTGTCTTTGGGCCATTACCACATTGTCTTTATTTTCATAGCTTTTGTAATAGGTCTTGATTTCTGACTGTGTAAGTCCTCTACTTTTATTTTCAAGATTTTGGGGGGATAATTTCAGCCTTCCACATTTCCTTATAAATTTTAGAATCACTTGACAGTTTCCGTCATTAAAAAAAAAAAAACAACTAGGATTTTGACAGGGATGGCATGGAATATGTAGATGAATTTAGGAAGAGTAGACATCTTTACCATTTTTCTCAGTAATGTTTTATAATGATCACTGTTGATGCTTCTGTCTTAAGTATCACTTCATATATTAGATTTTCTTAAGTCCTACACAAAATATGCCTCTATCACTAAGTTTCATGTTTCTAGATTGTTTAAACTTCTCAACATCTAGTGCCAACATCCTAGTCCAGTCTCAACCATCTTCTGTATTTGTTCTCTTAATTGGCTCTCCTGCTTTTGGGCTAGATTTCTTTTAAGAGTCTACTAAAATTCAGATTGCAGAACATCATCTACCTCCTCCACCATTTTGCTTCGACATGTCCTGTACCCATTTGTCAACATTGTTCCTTGATCAGGATCCTGCATTGGCTCTTCTGCCTACATATCGGTCTTCAGTTCTGCCTAACCCTTGGAGGTTTCTATAACGTGGTGTTTGTCAGAGACACATGGATCCTGATTAACCTTAGAAATGTTTTTGTTTTTTTTTTTTTTTAAGATTATTTATTTATTTATTTGACAGAGAGACAGTGAGAGAGAGAACACAAGCAGGGGAGTGGGAGAGGGAGAAGCAGCCTTCCCCCTGAGCAGGGAGCCCGATGCGGGGCTCGATCCCAGGACCCTGGGATCATGACCTGAGCCGAAGGCAGACGCTTAACGACTGAGCCACCCAGATGCCCCAGAAATGGTTCTTTTAATAGTAACCTCTCTTAATACTTTGCTCCTTACTTGGTGGTGTTTTGTTTTTTTGTGTGTGGTTTATTTTTTATTTATTTATTTTTTTTGCCCTGGTAAGACTTAACTACTCTGCATGTTAGTTTTTTTAAGGATTTTATTTTTAAGTAATCTCTGCACCCAACGTGGGGCTCAAACTCAACAACCCTGAGATCAAGAGTCGCATGCTCTACCAACTGAGCCAGCCAGGCGCCCCTGCATGTTAGTTGTTTTTTGTTTTTGTTTTTTTTAAGATTTTTATTTATTTGAGAAAGAGGGAGAGCACAGAGGGAGAGGCAGACTCCCTGCTGAGCAGAGATCCTGACAGGGGGCTCAATCCCAGGACCCTGGGATCATGACCTGAGCCAAAGGCAGATGCTTAACCAACTGAGCCACTCAGGTGCTCCCTCCCCCCCCTTTTTTTTAATAAACAGCGAATCATACCAGATTTGTGGTATAACATCTGCCTTACTCAGTTATAATGTTTATATGTAAGGTCAGGGGCAAGAACAGCACTGATGGAAGAATTCAGGAAAAAACTGCACTTAGATTTTAACCTGACTTTAAAATTTAGTAAGCGTTGATTGTTTCATTTAAATTATCCCCACCATAAATGTGGAGACATATTTCAAATTTCAGGAATTCTGTAATTTGATGGTAACCTTTTTAACATTTCTTAATTCTAGGAAACTCATATCATGCATACCTTCAAAGAGGACTTCTATGGGGAGATCCTCAATGTGGCCATTGTTGGCTACCTCAGACCAGAAAAGAACTTTGATTCTTTAGGTAAGTTCTGTCTAGGTCTTCTTAAGTATTACTGCAGCTACTTCTACTGCTTCTCCTAGTAACAGCATGGCAGGGGAGCAAACATTTGAGCATTTACTGTGTGCCTTACATGCATTAGTCCTTTCACCCCCACCAAAATAATATGAGGAATTATTTTGCCCATTTCACAGATGAGGAAATTGGCAGAGAGGGATTAAGTAATTTGCTCAGGGTCACATCAGTATGTGATGGAGCCTAGATTCAAACCCAGCAGCAGGCTGGCTGCTTCTCTTCCCAACAGTGTGAAGTTAGTGAAATCTTTATTTCCTTTTCATACTTTAAGGAATAAGTGGGAATGGATGCTGAGATGAATAATGGGTGCTTTGCAATGCTTAAAGTATAAGAAACTAAATCGATACTTGAAACAAATGGTATCAAGGATGTTAGTGTAGTGTGGTTGTTTCAATTCTGTAGAATTTGACAAATGTGAATACTGAAGAGGCTTGGTCACGGGTATTTCTTCCATTTGGTATTTGTGACATACCTTTGTGCTTATGCCTTTCTCTAAGAAATTGCAAAAAGATCAGGGACATCTCTTGTGGACCATTGATTTTTACTTAAGTCTGGAAGAAGGGATAGAACAAACATTTATCAGGCATCTGCCCTGCGCCGAAGACGCTGCCAGCCTTTGGGTTTTTAGGAGTCCGAACAAAGGCGTGGGGCAGTTTTTCATCATTTCCCTGCTCTCTTCTCTCCACAGAGTCCCTTATTTCAGCAATTCAAGCTGATATTGAGGAAGCTAAGAGACGACTAGATTTACCAGAACATTTGAAATTCAAAGAAGACAATTTCTTCCAGGTTCCTAAAAACAAAATAATGAATGGCCACTGATAAAAAAAATCATCTTACTCTTATTAATTCATTCACTGTTTTCTAATATTTTACTGCTTATAACTCCTCAGTCGTTACATTTTGAAAATCAAACATTTTCCTACAGCTGTGAATTAGTTTAAACAGTACAGTGTCTTTACCACATTATGTTTCAACCATTCAAATTAAACCCATCATGCTATAGTCCTAAAGTGATTCATTTGGAAAATCAAGATTCTTTTTTATGTAATATGTTGATTAAAATTTACCACTAGAAAGGTCTTAAGTGTCTTGTAATGGAAATGAGAATGTATATAAGTGTGGGTAAAAAGGCAAGTCGCTAGATTTGAGATAAGAACTAATAATTCTCATGGTACATACTAGTACGTATGTACTTATGTAGTACGTGCTGCTAAACAGAGGAGGCTTATGAAAGTAAATGTATTCAACAGAGGTTTGAGAGTTGATTATAAACCTAAGGGGAAAAATCCAGACTTTATATTTTTGATAATTTGTCTGTTAATATATTATTGCAAACATGTAGACGTGTGAATGTTTTTTTTCCCTCTTGTGTGAAGTTTCATTGTTGTGAGTCATTTCCTTTATGAGGTCAAATCATTGCACTGTGTTCCATTTTGTTTTACAGCTGCCTCAGTTCTAATTGGAGACTCCCCCTCCTTACCATTTTGTTTACCTCCTGAAGTGGTAAAATGAGTATTTTTCTAATCTGTAGGTCTCATTTTTGTGTTGTTTAACACTTCTCCTTTTTAAGGGTCGATGTTCAATATTTTTCTTGACTTTGGTTCTTTTTTCCTTGAAACAATTGTCCGTGTTTTTTTTTTTTCCTATTCCATTTCGAATACCTTACAACTGTTCACTTAGACAGAAGATTGCATCTATATCTACTATTCCATCCCTTCGCTATATAAGCAATGATTAAGTGCATATCCATATTGCATTTTAGGAAAAATATCCCCAAAACTTCATTAGGTTTCCTCAAGTTTAAATGAGCACACAGCAGTTCATTTGTATATACCATTTTCTTAAAGAACACAAAACATTTGTTTTCCCCCTAGGGAAGCCATTTAAGAACCAATTAAGTTATGAAAGTTGTTTATTTTTAATGTAATTATATGTTCCTGAGCAAATGTAAACTGTTGTAGCTGTGTACGCACAACGTGATTTAATGCTAAACAGTGCTTGTAGCTCAGGGGAAAGGCGTAAATGATAAAGTCTTAGTTACATAATCCTCATACTCTGCATTTTTTCTTCCTCCTAACTAAGAAGTAATTTTTGGCTACTTGAGACTCTTATTTATATTGGCAGGAAGTTGAAATCTTTGGGTATTTAGGAAATTAAGATTACAGATTGTTTGGGTCTCCTGAAACAGTACCTTTCATTATTGTTCACTTAAGCACCAGATTTAGTGTGGGAAAAGGGAGCAGAAGTACAGAGAAGGTAATTTTAAAAGTAACTCATTATAATTCATTTTCCCTGATCTGCATAAATAGAGAACAGATTTTAAGAAAAATATAAAGTATGTAGAAAAACACCTAAAACATCTGGAGAAAGGGGAAGCATGGATAAAGTCAGTTGGATTGTGTTTTACTCTTTGGTGTATGAATTTATGGCAAACAATGTAGTATGTGTCTTTCTTTTATAAAAAGACTTAGAATATGTAATTTAATGTTAGAGATCCTATACTTGAAAGAAGCCGCGATTAGTGGCGTTATAAAGCAAAGATAAAAAACAGACATGGAAAGTGTAAAAACAGATTTGTGTTTGTTTGAATAGCCTGCTGCTAATTATGTCCTCATTAAGTGTGTGAAATCTTGGTCACCTGACAACTTGAAAATCATATATTGTGAGGTTTAAGAGTTAGTTAATAGTGTCTATACTTCTTAAAGTTTTGTATTAAGTATGTATTATAAGAAATGGCAGTAGTACCATTTTTGATTAATCTGATTTCAGGCCTTGAAATAAATCTAAGTGATGTTTCTTTCCCTGTGTCGGTTTGAATCTTTTGTCTTGTCTGTGTGTAGGTTCCTCATGTGCCGGCTGGTGGTCCCTTGCCAGTGTGTTCGAGAGCCTGACTGGCAAGTTGCAGGTGGCTGCTCGAGGGGGAACCTGCTGTGCAGTGGTAATTCTAGAACCAGGGGCTTTGCCTTGACAAACCCTTGTTGATGCCTGCAGCACAGGTTGCTTGGAGAGCATTCTATTTTTTTTTTTTTTTTTTAAGATTTGTATTTATTTAGAGAGCACAAGCTGGGGGAGGAGCAGAACGAAAATCTCAAGCAAACTCCGTGCTAAGTCCAGAGCCCGACACGGGGTGGATCCCACGACCCTGAGATCAAGACCTGAGCCTTAATCGAGAGTCAGACGCTTAACCACCTGAGCCACCCCGCCGCCCCTGGAGAGCAATCTATTCACAGGGTTCTCAAAAGCCTACTTTTCTGAGGGTGAGGGTCCCCATTATATTTTTAGTCCTAAGAGCCAGAGGACTAGAAGGCTGAGTTCCCTTCCGTAACTCCTGCTCCAAAACGGTTCTGCAGTCTCGGTGACTAGCAGCCCCGGGAAGGCCTGCTTATGTCTGGCGTATGCAGAGGGATACATGCTGCTCTTTCAGCACCTGTCCAGCACTGTCCGCACTGGGGGCTTACACGTTTGCAGCTAGGGCTGCTATTGGAACAGCTGGGATCAGGGAGACGTAAGCTGGAAGTTTACTAGGAACTTAGGAGGACAGTTTTGCTTTCCTGGTAAGAGTGCTAGCCTTTTCCTAGTGTGCTAGCCTTTTCCCCGCCCTGTAAATAATAAGTGAAGGTGCCCTGTAAAGAGATGCCATCAGAAGCAAGAGTTAGCAGCAAGGAATTCTGCAACAAGCTCTACAAAGATGACAGATACAGGGATTATCAGATAGAATTTGACGTGACTTGAATATGTGTAAAGAAATGAGTGTTAAAAACGGTAAAATGAGGGTGTATACAAATTGAACGGAGGGGAGATACGTGGGGGATGAAGAAATAAAGGGGATTAAGAGGTACAAACTTTGAGTTGTAAAATAAGTCACAGAGATGAAAAGTATAGCACAGGTAGTATAAGTATGAGGACAGATGGTGACTACACGTAACGGTGGAACACGCTAGTAATGTACAGAATTGTTGAATCAGCATGTGGTACACCTGAAACTAATATAATACTGTATGTTAATTTAAATACATTATAGCTTTATTAGGGTATAACTGACATAACAGATTGCACATATTTGAGTTGTATGACTTGGTAAGTTTTGATATATGGATACATACTTGTAAAATCAATGTCAGGATAATAAAGTCACTCCCCGCCCCAAAAAAACCTGGGGAGAATAAGCATGAATTTAAAGTGGTATTCATATCTTCAAATCTGGAATGTCAGGTAAATTTAAATGTTTACTCTTTAGGCTGGAGGTGTGGATGATTACAAGATGCCAACGCTGGATGGGAAGTTAATTTTTGTGCCCCGCTCCCCGGTGTGTGCGCGGGTGGGACCTCTGGTGGAGGGTGGAGCTGTCATGATGGGATTGCCCTTATAAAATGTTACCCCAGAGAACTTTTCTTCGTCCTTTCTGCCCCGTGAGGACACAAGGAGAAGTCAGCAGTCTGCAACCCAGGAAGCATCTCATCAGAACTTGACCATGCTGCCTCAGACTGGCAGCCTCCAAAACTGTGAAAAATAAAGTTTTTGTCCTCTTTAAGTCATCCAGTCTGGGGTATTTTGTTACAGAAGCTTGAACAGACAGAGGAAACCTGATGTGAAGCTTAAAATAGATGGCCTCCTCCTTCCCTGCACTCCTCTCCCTTCTCCCATTCCCGCCCCCCCCCCGCTCCTCCTCTGTCTCCCCTTCTCTTTTCTCTAATGGAAACAGGTGTGAGCCATTGGGTTGGGAGTGAAGAAGGTACAAAGGCATCATCTATAAAATATTTGTAATTTTTTGCTTTGGAACTAGATTTGAGATGTCAAATTGCCGTCCTCCAGGAGATTAGTCCTAATTGTGTTCTTAAAATCAGTGCCGTAAGCCAGTACTAGTTCTGTGGGTTACCCAGCACAGTGGGAGAGCAGAGCTGCTGGAGGGTATGGGGAAGGGGTGGCTGCCAGTCCCTGTACAGTCTTGAGCACTCACTATTGCTATCTGTGCGAGACCCTCATCTTTTTTGCTGGAATTTCAAGTTTATTGAAGGCTCTCCAACCAGTACAGAATTGCTATCAAATGAAGTTTTTTCTTTTGTTTTCAAACCCCTCCTGAACCCAACAAAACCTAATACTACTATTCTGAGATTTCCATGTATTTCAAAACTAGGACTGGGCGCCTGGGTGGCTCAGTTGGTTAAGTGACTGCCTTCGGCTCAGGTCATGATCCTGGAGTCCCGGGATCGAGTCCCACATCAGGCTCCCTGCTCAGCGGGGAGTCTGCTTCTCCCTCTGACCCTCCCCCCTCTCATTCTCTCTCTCAAAATAAATAAAATCTTTAAAAAAAAAAACAAACTAGGACTTTCCCTGGCCCATAGCCTGACAAGCTGGACCTGTTCTCTACTGTTTGCTATAGAACTCGTTTGAGTACTTCTTTTGAGGTCTTAGAAGATGGAAGGAAGTGTTATCTTGGATTCCCTGCCCTTAAAGTTTCTTTTCTTCATTCCTTTTTACAGTCTTGCAAAAGGATTGATGATAATGAAATATCTGTTATTGTCACAGCTTCACTACACTGAGGATATCATGGTTTTTGTAACAGCACAGTTTTAGAAGTCAAACGCAGGTAACTGGGTGCACATTGAGCATTCCAAAGAAGAGAAAGGACCCTGTTTCACCATAGAGCGTCAAGATATGAGTGGTTACATTCCATTTACTGACCAAAGGTAAATTTTAGCTGTTGTAGCAGCAGGAACTTCAGTGTGCTTTTACTTACATCATTTCAAGGTTCTTCACAGTAAGCCTGAGCCATCTAGCTAGATATTGTTACCACTCTTCAAATGAAATGAAAACATCAACTCAGTCCAACTCAAGCTGTGTAGGAAGAAAGTTTCAGAGTTGGGTGTTGGGAGCCCAGCCTATTCCAAGAGGGAAACAGTCTTTACAGACTGAGCCTTATAGCAAGTTATTTTACTTCCCTGTGGCTTAAAGTCTTACCTGTGAAACAGGGGTAAGAACAGTGCCTACCTCATAGGGTTGTTATGATGATTATAAGGATTAAACAAACTGATCCATGCAAAGTGCTTCCAGTAGTCCCAGAAACCCAGTGCCGGTTACTTTTGCAAGGTGGTTATTTCTTCCTTGGGCCAAAGATAACATTGCAACTTTAAGAATACAGCAAACTCTTCCCTAGATTATATGCAGAGTCTACTTTCGGTCAGCGGTAGACAATGCTTTCTGTGAGCAGAAAATGCACAAATACTTATGGACCGACTACTGTGTGTTACCTACGGGCAGTCTCCCAGAGAAATTCCAGTTCATTTGACTTTATAGTCCTCACCTCCATGTGGTTCCTGGTATATTTTAGGTCTCTGGGAACTAGGGGATTTAAGTGCATTTCCCGGGAAGGAATCATGGACTCTCTTTACGTCACCCAGTTGCAGTAAAATAAAGGAGCATCACGTCCCTTCATTTTTTTCCAGTACCTTCCAAATGTGGAAGAAAAAGCAGCCCTGGAGACTTTCCTGCAGATGCCAAAGGTCTCCAAAAGCCAGCATTTCAGGAAAAGATGAATTTGCTCTTCTGTACATCCTCTGGTGTTTTATTTCACAGTGTTTACTGAAAAGAGTTTTCAGGAAAGGAACGAGAAAGGAAACAGATGGTGCCAAATGAGAGCGGTGAGTCCCAGATTTCTCCACTCTTTGCTGGCTCAGAGCAGCTGAGAAGCCCGCAGGAGAAAGAGTGGGGGATTTGCTGTGCTCTTGCCCCTCCCTTCCAGCGTCGCCAGTCCCTCGGCTATGTAAACAGGGCTTTGATGTCACAAGCCCAGGGAGGTCATGCTGAATGAGCACTGCCAGCTCTTCCTCCCGCCCTCTCCTGCCCTTCCAAGGGTGACGGAGACTTCCGAGCAGCGGGCAGAGGAAATAAACAAATTGACAGGGTGGGCTCGCTCTTGGTTTCGTTTGTAGCCCAGAGGGAGTGAAACCAGGAGGAAAAAAAAAAAAGGCTGAGTTGGGACCAAGTAAAGCCCTTCCCCACCCATTGCCAGAGAAGGAGTATACAGCCACACCCAGGGGAGGCCCCATGTCAGCATGACCCCCAAAGGGCCAAGAACCATCTTTAAAAACGGCACCGGGAGGAGTTTATACTTCAGCTGGTGCGCAGTTTACAAGTGTCACACAGGCTAAGATAAGAATGCGGATAGCCTCGGAGCAGACAGCAGCTCTCTTTCAATGCAGCTTATGTCAGAAAAGAAATTCTCCTTCTACACCAAGCCACCTTCCTTGAGGGGTTTCCTTAACACTCCATGTTCTGTGGCTAGCTCTTCTTCCCTCTCCTCCGACCCTACCACCTTTCTATCTAAATGCTTTGACCTCCTGGCAGGTGGAGGTAGATGTAGCAACTAATGCATTTTGCAAGCCATGCATTTTGCATGGCTCTGAAGATATATGGAAATCAGGCTCAGCTTCAAGGGTGAGCCACCTACGCAGTCACACAGGGCTTGCGGCTTAGTAGGGCAAGGGCCCCAGGCTCGGATTCCGAGCTCTCCTGCTCACCAAAATGCTTAAGTTTTACACTGGGCCCACGGATTATGTAGCTGCCCAGTTTTCTGAGAAACCCCCTCCAGATGGTTGGCCTGAGGATATTGTTTGATTTCTCCGTTTCTACCGTGCAAGTGACAGCACAGGAGAACAGATGAACGATAACCTTGGTGTAGCACCTTCCAGCTTACAACAGACTTTCCCATGCCTGAGGTCATTTCCTACTCACCAGCAAATGTACGGAGACAAGCCCATGTAAGGCCACTGGAGAGCCACCTACAGGGGACGAAACTGATCGATTTCACAGGCAAACAGCTCTTTAAAAAAGTGAAAATCAACGGAAAACCAGGACGGAGAAATTATCCAGATGTTTTACAGCTGTGCTGCAAAGGGAGGTCACGGAGGCAATAAAGGACTCAGCGTGGAGTTTGGCCCGAGGGATCATGGGGAATAAAAATTCCAATCCCAGGCTGAGAGAGAGAGAGAGAGAGAAGGAAAGACCGTGTCCGTAGAGCATCAGTCAGCAAGATCCCTCAAGGTCCCTCATGGCTCAGGGATGTGCATCACGAAGTCCGGCTGAAAACTCCTTTGCCAAGGATTCTTTGATGAGCAATTTGGTTTGTTTTCTGTGTTCCTTTGTTCCAGGAACAAATCAATACTGACAACACTGCTCAAGCCCCCCTTAGAAGCTGGCCGGCCCCAGACTAAATACAGTTGACCTTGGGCAGCACTGGAGTTGGGGCGCCCTTCTCCCATGCCTTCAGATCTCCGCCTCTACCTTTTGACTCCCCTAAAACTTAACTACTTATTAGCCTACCGTTGACTGGAAGCCTAGCCAATAACACCAACAGCTGATGGACACGGTTTGTATATGTTATATGCTGTATTACAAGAAAGCTCCAGAAAGCAAAACATCATTCAGAAAATCGTAAGAGAAAACCTATGCACGATACTGCCCTGTACTTAGTGAAAAGATCCACATGAAAGTGGACCCACGCCGTCCAAACCCGTGTTGTTCAAGTATCAGCTGGAGCACCTATGGACCACCTCATGGCCTGGGGGTCTTCACTGCTTTCACCTGCTTGCCTGACTTTATGATCCCCCGCCTCGGCCTGGCTTGTCACCACAGCCCTGGTTGCAAGCTGATGTCTGAGGTCCACACCACTGCTCCTCGCTGCCGGGCGTCAGACGCTGGCCGCCTTCACTGGGGACCGGGATGCCTGCAAGGCTGTCTGCGACTCAGCCATTTTGGGGACCACAGCGGCAAAGGAGAGGATGCTGGCATGAGTTCTCAGCCCCACCGGCTGTCCGGACAGGCCTGCTTTCCTGACTCTTCTCAGTCCACTCTCAAATCCTGTCACCTTTTCTACATGGAGTCACAAAGTGACCCAGAAACAGACTGTGTTGCTGTCCTTCCTTGTCCATATTCTCAGCACGTGCCAAAGATTCCCTGTGGCTTCGTAGGCAAACTCTAACGTGAAGTTTTCCATGACTCGGGGAGAAAGGAGGGGTTTATTGGAGAAGCGTGGATTCTCTTGGACAGTCTAGGTATGCATAGGATTTCTTTTTTTTTTTTCCAAGGTTACTTCTTTTTTTTTTATTATGTTTGGTTAGCCACTGTATAGTACATCATTAGGTTCTGATGTCGTGTTCCATGATTCATTAGTTGCGTATAACCTTAAGAAACTATTCTGGGGCTCCTGCTGGCTCAGTTGGCAGATCCCTTGACTCTTGATCTCGGGCTCGTGAATTCAAGCCCCATGTTCGGTGTGCGGATTACTAAATGCAACAAGAACAGAATACTATTCTGCTGGCGGGGGGACTACGGTTGCTTTTTAGACAGTGAGGAGGTGTGGAGAGATGAACAGATTTCATCAGAGATCAAGCATTTGGCCAACGTGTTTATTGAATGTATGGCCCTTTAACCAGAACTTTCATCACTTCAGTGAGGAAAGGATTTGATTTCCTCCTGGTTTTGGAGCAAATCACTGGATTTCTGAAAGAACTATATCCTGTTTCCCTATCTGTTGAGAAATCGAGTAAAACAATCCAGTTAATGATATGCTTACTTAAAACCACTCATCCAACGTATTTGCTTTGCTTAGAAGGCATTGTTAAAGTGCTGAGTGGGTGTGTCTTACAGATTAAGTATGTAGAGCAGGTTAAGTCTCCTTTTCTCTCCCTCATGTAATCTTTTTTTTAAATTTTATTTTATTATGTTAATCACCATACAGTACATCATTAGTTTTTGATGTAGTGTTCCATGATTCCTTGTTTGCGTATAACACCCAGTGCTCCATGCAGTATGTGCCCTCTTTAATACCCATCACCAGGCTAACCCATCCCCCCACCCCCTCCCCTCTAGAACCCTCAGTTTGTTTCTGAGTCCATAGTCTCTCATGATTCATCTCCCCCTCTGATTTCCCCCCTTTCATTTTTCCCTTCCTGCTATCTTCTTCTTCTTCTTCTTCTTCTTCTTCTTTTTTTTTTTTAACATATAATGTATTATTTGTGTCAGAAGTACAGATCTGTGATTCAACAGTCTCACACAATTCACAGTGCTCACCATAGCACATCCCCTCCCCAATGTCTATCACCCAGCCACCCCATCCCTCCCACCCCCCACCACTCCAGCAACCCTCAATTTGTTTCCTGAGATTAAGAATTCCTCATATCAGTGAGGTCATATGATACATGTATTTCTCTGATTGACTTATTTCGCTCAGCATAATACCCTCTAGTTCCATCCACGTAGTCTTGCTTCACAAATCCTTTGAAAATATAGGTTCATGGGAAGGAGACTATTAAGCTTTCACTGCTACTAAAATGATATGGGGGGGGGAATTAGCATTTATAGAAACCCTTCTGTATACCAGGCCCATTGCATATGTAATGTCATTCATTCCTCAGGGCAACCTTGCAAGGTCTGGAGTTCCAAGTTTCCCACATTTAGTGAGGAATCAGGACTTGAGTAACTTGTTCAAGATTCCAGACAAGGAAGGGTCAGTGCTGGAATTCGATCCCAGGAATCCTGAACTCTCAAACTCGTAGCATTTCTGTTATGCCGAATCATCTTTATAAAAATGAATACAGACATGGTAAGTCTAATCGGGGCATCACCCACCAAGATTTAAAAAAAAGCGGGGGGCTTCCTACTTACGAATAGTTTATGAATGGACAGAATGAGATGTAATTATTGAAACTGAGGTGAGGCCATATTTTGTGGAGCCGGCACTGAGCCAAATGTGTGGACATTTGTGCAGCTTTCCCACTTGGGCTCGTTGGGTTCCCTGAGACACAAGAACACGAGGGGGAGATGATACGAAGGGAAGGTGGGGTCCCCCAAATACAGTGTCTGCTTGCCAGGTCTGCCTTACCTCTCTACTAACCCCTGGTTTGCAGGAGGACTGATACCCTTTATCACATGGAGCTGAAATAGAGCTGTGAGTTCAAATTCATGTGAGAAGTGCTTATCATTCTATTTTATTTTTTATTACATAATCTCGACACCCAACATGGGGCTCAGACTCACCACCCTGAGATCAAGAGTCTCATGCTCTACCGACTGAGCCAGCCAGGCGCCCCATTGTGCTTGTCATTTTAGAGAGGGCAGGAAAGTTGAGATAGAGACTTAGTGCTCACTCTTACTGAGCTTGGCAGACACTTTGATTCTCCCAAACACTTCCCTCAGCTTTTCTCCCAAAAAAGCACCTAGAGGCATCAATTTGCTTTTTCTCATAGTCTCTGTGTTCTAATGGTTTGTTTTTTCTTTCCCCTAATTGCACTGCTTGCACTGTCCCTCATTCTGTGGTTATTTGTACACACGTTTGTTGTTGGTCTTTTTTTACCTTAATATTAAACTATCCGGGGGCAGATAATGTTGTTTGTTTGCTACCATTTGTTTGTTGCTACCATTCAGATTGCATGATCCACATAGGGCTTTCATTTTAGAAATACACTTGAAATGGCAGTGTATATAAACTTTTATATCTTGATTATTATTACATGTAACTATTATAGCATATTTTGTATAGTCTTTTATTTTGGAAGGGTTTTTTTTTTTTGTATAGTCTTTATAAACTTACTTTTAGAGTACTGTAGTTTTAAATTACAAACAAAAGTGAAACTTTTTTTGTAAACGCTTTGGTACTGTTTATATTTCCTGGCAAGGACTTAGTAGATTCAAATAGAACAAATATTGAAAAGACTCAACACAGTTTTTGCTAAATTGATTTCCAAAAGAGTTTTATTGGCTTTGGTAGGCAGAGTTGTAAAGTGGCCCCTCAAGATTTCCCATTCAAATCCCCAGGATTGTGCATATGATGAGATCTCATGCCTATAATTATGCTATGTTAAGGCCAAAGGTAGATTCTCCACGTGGGCCTAATGTAATCATGCCAGCCTTTTAAAAGCAAAGAGTTTTTTCCAGCCAGTAGCAAAAGGGAAAGTCAGAAAGATTCAAAGCAGGAGGATTCAGTGCATGGATGCTGGCCTTGAAGGAGGGCTGAGCACCATGCACAAGACCAGAGTGGCCTCCATGAGCTGAGAGTGATCCCGGGTCAACAGTCAGGAAAGTAAGCACGGACCTCCATCCTTAGAACTACCAGAAACTGAATTCTGCCAGCAACCTGAGTACCTTGCAAAACAATTTTTCTCCAAAGCCTCTAGGTAAGAGGCTTGCATCTTGATTTTACCCTTGTGAGACCCTAAGCTGAGAACCCAGTCAAGCGTACTTGGACTTCTGGGTTATAAAACTGTGAAATAGGGGCACCTGGGTGGCTCAGTCGGTTAAGCGCCTGCCTTCGGCTTAGGTCATGGTTCCAGGGTCCTGGAATGCGGATTGAGCCCCGCATCTGGCTCTGTGCTTAGCGGGGGGTCTGCTTCTCCCTCTCCCTTGCCCCTCTTCCCGTTCATGCTCTCTTTCTCCCAAATAAATTAACAAAATCTTAAAAAAAAACCTGTGAAATAATAAATGCATATTATTTTAAGCTGCCATATTTGTGGTAGTTTGTCATGCAGTAATACAAATGAATACATTGGCTTACTCTGTACCAAGTAATACACGAGGCTGTCCACGTCTCTATGGGTAGCAGTGGACAGAACTCTGGAATCGTGCTGCAATTAAAAGTCTTTGCTAAAACATTATTATTTGTTAAGTTTGTTTTCCTTTGACTGTTGGTGGAAATGAGGAAACAAGTCATTATTTTGTTGCCTTCTGATAGCTTTGGAGTGAGGGAACTAATAAAAAAAAAGACAGGAATTTCTGGATAAGAGATTTGACAGAGAAAAATCACAGAGAGAGAGATTCTACCTAAAAAATGTGGTGTGTTGAAGCTGGATTGTCTGGGCTTATGAAAGCCAGTTGTTAATTGTTCAGGAATCTTCTGAGTCAGTTGTTAGACATGGCAATTATTAAAAATTCAGTTATAAAACCTTCAATTGAAGAAGTTATATTAGAAACACAGGTAGCAAATACCTCAAACTCATCACTTCCTAATCATTTTACATTTTACTCTTAAGTTACGCTCCTGAGGCTATTTTTGTCTCTCATGCATCTGTATGGCAGAAATACTGTAAGGGTTTGCTTCTTCACGTTTATTCCAGGCTTCACATCCACATTTGAACCTTGAAATTGGCCACATAATACACCATGTGGGTGTATTTACACTACGGAAACTGGCAAATGCCTTTTATGAACCAATGAGGTACCATGAACTTTTTTTGAGACTTGCGTCGGGGGTAAGGTGGTGCCTTTTTCCTATTGGATGTGGAACCCAAGCGAATGCAATGTCTGCCACTTTGAGGGCAGGTCTCCAGTTAGAAGTGGCCAACACAGCAAAAGACAGAGAGGGACAATGGAGATCAACCAGTACCTGGGGCCATGCTTTGAGCTCCATTTCCAGCAGTACCCGATCCCACCCTAGGCTTTTTGATTAAATGAGCCCCACTAAATTCCTTTGGTCTTGAAGCCAGTTTGGGTAGATGTTTCTGTAATTTTTAACTAACAGCCGCCTCAAGGATACAGCAGAATTTCTATCAGGGACAGAATCCCACTCCTAGCCAGGGAGGAGACTTCACACCGTAACGTAGAGAGATGGGAATCCTCCTGACCTCCATCTTGTTCTGCGCTTGCATTATAATTCTCTGCTTTACAAACACATGTTTGTTCCATGGAATGGTTTCATTAGCCTTCTATCATTTCCCTTGGGAGCAGGGATCAGCTATTATCAATGAACTCCTTTGTTAGAGTGGGAGACATTCTTACTAGGTTATCTAACAGCTCCACTGCACTGTTCTCTTCTTTGATAACAGAAAACTTTTACTGTGGATGGCAAAGTCCCAGAGGATGAGTCATGAGTTTTCTAAACCCAATAAGGTAATCGATCTCATTACTCTTGATCACATTTTTGCTTTCAAGCCTTCCTTACAGCTGAGTGTGGCCACAGGACCTAGTTCTGGTGTGTACTCTGAGCTCAGAAGGTACAAACGTGCAATTATTTTTATACCAGGAATTACTCAATGAATATTTGCCTTTGTACCATTGGATGTATTAGTCACTAAGACAATAGAACTAAACAAAACAGATGTCATCCCTCTTATCTTTCTTGATCTTTATGACTGTTTTCTGGCCTCCCCCCCCCCCCCCCTTTTTTTTTTTTTTTTTTTGGCCTGTGTTGAGAACAATGCAAGGTAGACATAGGTAGGGGCTAACAGAGATTGGATTGATTTTAGGAAGAAGCTTCATAACTGCTCTATAGCATTTGTGTTGTAAAGACTAAATAAGATCAAATGACAAAAGTGCCTATGACTGTGCCTGGCACATAGAAGACATCAAAAATGATAGTTGTATTGTTATGATTTCCTTTTTTTCTCCCCAACTAGATCACAAGTTCTTTAAGACCCAAGATCTGATTGGTTCCACTTGCTGGTGTTTCCCAGTATCTAGAACAATGCCGGGCAGATGGTCCATTCTTTTTTTCTTTTTTTTTTTTTTTAAGATTTTTTTAATTTATTTGACACACAGAGAGAGTGAGCACAAGCAGGGGGAGCAGCAGGCACAGGGAGAGGGAGAAGCAGACTCCCCACTGAGCAGATGTGGGGCTCGATCTCAGGACCCTGGGATCATGACCTGAGGCGAAGGCAGATGCTTAATAGACTGAGCCACCCAGGGGCCCCACCGGCAATTCTTACTACGAGTACTTGATAAGTTAATATTATCACTACTATCATCTGATAGTGAAATGTCAGACCAACTACTTATTAACTCCAGTGGGTATTTTGTGGAATACCTCCTACATCCTCTTTTTCAAATCAAGTCAAAGCACAAATCTCCCCCATGAAACCACCCCCTACAGGCTCTAATTTGCAGTTATCTTGTACTCCTCCTGCTTAACTGACACCACCTCTCCTCCCCCTTCCCACTTAACACTGCACTCAGGACCATTATTGTTGTCTAGTTGTTTCATATATGTGAGTCCTGTCTTCCTAAAATTCCATTCCACCAAGAGCTCTTGATTGCTTACCAAGTTCTGGGCACTGTGCCACGTTCTGGAAAGGAAATAGTAGCCACCTCAAGGAATCAGTAGCTGCCCCCTCTTTTAGTAGATACAGATGCGATGTGAAAAACTGTATGCACAGAGCATCCAGGTGGCAGAGAGGTGAGATTGTGATTCATCTTCAAGGTGGTCAGGGGAGAACTCCCAGGAGAGGTTGTAAGAAGGGAACATGATTTTAAAGGATGGTTGGAAAGTTTCCAATTGGTCAAGGGAGGGAAGAATATTCTAAGGAGAGTGAACAATGTGTGCGCAAGGACAGGAGATAACAGGATGTTATCCTGGGGAACTTAGAAGCAATTCAGGACAAATGGGAAATCTGGGAAATAAGGAGGGGTAGGAAATGGTGGATGATAGAGGCAGTGGCTCTGTCCTGCAACGTTTTGAATGTCAAAGTCAGCATGGATGGTGGGGAGCCGTGAATGCAGTGGGCTGGCGGACCAAAGATCTGGTGGATCTTTGATATAGGGATAGAGGGTAAATTGGGAGAAAAAAAGACTGAAGTTCAGCAAAATTCAGGAGGAAGCAGGAAACATCCAGATGAGAGAGACTGGGGACCTGAGTCAGTGGTGGTGGGGCTGACAGACGGATGGGATTGAATTTTAGGAAGAAGTTTCATAACTACTATGACTAGCTCCAGTCATTGGAGGTAGAAAGATAAAAAGAAAAAACAGCGCTCTTAACAAACAGCATAGTTTTGTGTCTCTGACTTGGTAAAGTATAATACCACACATGCAATGTGCTCAAAAATAATCTGTTAATAAGCCAGTCCCCATTGCCTTCTCTGACCTTGATTTAATTTTGTGTCCAATTTTAAAATTGCTTTCTCTGAACTGGAACTTTCCAAGCCCTTGCTCAGCGTCTTGGTGCATTTCCAGTCTATAAGGATCCTCTTAATATTTCCAAGTTATTTGCAAACAGAAAACCAAAAAGGGACGTTGTTTTCCAACCACACATTTATCTGTTTAGACAGTAGGTAGCATAGTTTTCAAAAGAAGTCTGAGGATAACGTGGCATGACCAAGAACAAAGAAGGAAAGATGTCAAACTGTTCCAACACACAGCACAAGCCTTTTTTTTTCGGGCTCACACAAGGTAATAACACAATTTTTCTTGGTATTCAAGGTCATCTCAACCTCATTTAATCTTTAACTGTGTATCATAAACACAGATTTTTCTTGGAAAACCATTTTCAGACAAAGAAATGTCCAACTCAGTCTATCAGGGCTTCAGAATTATCAGGGAAGAAGAACAACACAGAATGAACAAAATTACTCTTGCATAAGCTACACTCCGTAAATACACGGCAAGGGATAAGGAAGTCTCTCATTGATATGATGGCTATCCTACATCCATTTTTAATTTCTAAGAATCGAAAAGGGCACTATCAGAACTTCAGATAGATTTGGAAGAGATGATTTTAAATGATCAAAACTGTTGGAAGCATATCAAGTGTGTATAAATAGACATGGGCTGTTAAGGATTTTTTTTAAGATGAGGTCGGCAGACTACAGCCTGTTGGCCAATTTGGCCCACTACCTGATTGTGTACTGCCCCGAGCTAAGAATGGTTTTACATTTTTAAGTGCTGGAAGGAAAAAAAAAAAGGAACAATATTTCATGATATGTGAAAATTACCTTAAATCCAAATTTCGGTGCCCATAAATAAAGTTTAATTGGAACATAGCCCACTTATTTCTTCTGGATTGGCTGCATTAGTGCCATATGGCAGAGCCGATCATTGTGCAAAGCCTAAAGTATTTACTATCTGGCCCTTTCCAGAGGAAAGTTTGCCAACCTTTGTTTTAAGAGCATTCCCCTAAGAAACATGGAGGCCTTCAGTACTTGGAAGGCTTCTTCACAGAGATTTCCTGTGTCTGTGATACGTTATGTTAAAAGAAAAGCAAAAGCATGAATTTAGTAAAGGTAATATAGTTGCCATATCATGAAATAAAATAATATACACTCTCTTCTATACTATATTTAGGTTGCTTCTTATTTTATGCCAGTATTGCATAGCTATTAAGAATTTGCACTTCAGGGTCATTCTTTTAACCTCTCAAAAGTCTTGGGTTTCCTATAAAAACAGGGTATAACGGTACCAGCCTCATGAAATCATGATATTAAGCGAGGTGACTTTTTTCTTAAACAAATTAGTTAGCTCAATACCAATCACATAGGAGGTGTGTGATAAATTTTTTAGGAAATCTCAAACCCAATTAAGGACATTTTAACATTGTCATCTGAAAATATCATTTTTTCGTGATCCCCTCCCAGTACTGGTTCTAGCTTCTGCTTGGACAAGAAAATCTGCAAAACCCTGCTTACGTAATTTCACACGGTAAAAGCCCCTCTCTCTGTATTACTATTGGTAGAAAATGGCCCTGTACCCAAATCCGAGCTTGTACTTGACAGGAGAGTGGACCAAGGAGAGCCTAGGATGTCTAGAAATGGATCACAGTGGTAGAGAGTGTTGGAAGGCTGGTGGGCAACTGGATTACGCTCGTGAGCAGGACATTGGGATTTTCCACATTAGAATCCGCTCCAACTTCTTCTACAGGGAGTTCTCAGCTCCGTGACAGGCTGTCAATGAAATCTTTTTGATTTGGTAGCTAAAAACATTTTTGTTTTTTTTCCCTCAGAGTCGATGCAGTTCTTGTCATTTTATCCCATTTTAACACTACCATTTTTCTTTTATTACTCAATGTCTTAGCTGGTGTTTCCCACCACAAAAGCTCTTAGAAAATCGTGAGCGTGTAACGCTGCAATTCTTGGAAATGTAATGATTTCTGTCCTACTGGCTTGCTGCCATCTATGTCCTGCCAGAGCTTGCTTTGTCCCTAGAACAGGATGGCTGTGGATTCCTGCAGAAGAACCAGAGCCTAGGGAGCACATGGTTCCTTGGCTCTGATGCTGGCTCCCTTTTCTTTCCTCATCTCCCAGTAGGTTGAGAACACCCTTAGCACAGGTATTGTCTTCTGCTCCGCGGGGGCAGTCTGGAGGCAAGTGATAAAGGGCATGAGGAGGAGAACCCTCTTTAGCTGGCCCTAGCAGAACTACCTTTGCCTAAAGATGGCTGACAGGGGAGAAAAATCCCCTGAGACAAACAACTCTTTTGTCTCCCCATACCCCCAAATCATTTACAGAAACACCAGAATCCCAGAAGGCGGCAAATGTCTCCGCAAGACAGCTGAGAAACAGAATTCCTATAGGTCCAATATTTTTTAATCTCATGAAATGTACAAATCTCACTTTTTTCACTTCCTGTATTTTGACTTATTGTTTTGAGGGAAATCTCTCTGAATTTTATCCTTGTTCCTCAGTTATGGTTAATTGAGTTTAGCCTCTCAAAAGAAGAACAAATTATTTCAGCATTCTTACATACCCTAGTCGGACTCATGATTAAGAGGACAAAGACAAACACCCACACATCAGCCTGATGTGTGGGGATAAAACTCCAAAACTGCAACGCTCGAATGCATGCCTGTGAGTGGAATGGGGCAGGGTGGGGGAGGGGGGTGGCCTCTTGTCTACTGGTAGGAGTAGCTCTCATCATCGTATTCCAGCTCATCCTCCTCATCATCATCCAGCAGCCCATACTTAAATTTCCGGTAAACAGTGCCATCTTGGCCCATGTAGACAATGTCATCACCATCATCCTCATCATAGTCCCGGTCCCTGTACTCAATCACCTGATCCTCTTCCAAGCTGGGGCTGCTCTTATAGGAAACGTATGACTTGCTAGGGTTGGCCAGCTTCTCATAGCCGGCCTTCACTACCGGCTGGCCTCGGCCCCGTGATTTCCTCCAGGCAATCACAGCTGCCCCAAGCAGAAGCACCAGCATAACGGAGGAGGTGATGAACAGGGCTATCTTCGTCTGTTCACCGGCAGGCCCAATTTCGCTTGCTTGAAGGATACACTCCTCTGTCGGAAGAAGACCCCAAAGGAAAAGCGGAGAGGGGAAGGGTGGGAGAGAAGAAATGGAATGAGGAAAATTAGCTTCTGAGGTAAAAAGCTTTGCTTTCTCTTTGAAAACTAAAATGGTAGAGTCCCTATCTCTGATTTCCCTAGAGGGCACACCACTCAACAGAATTGTTCTGTGTACCCCCTGAGAGTCCCAGTCTGTGTCTGATGATACCAACAAACCCTTCTAGGATGAAGGTCAGTTTGAGAAATAGAGTCCCCTCATCCTCATACCTCATGAGTCAGTCACCACGTATCCAACCTGACCAATCGATTTTTCTATTTCCTTCTTAAGAGAAATATTCCATCTTGGGCCATGCTTCGGTTACTGCTAAATGCTCTCTTTTTTGTTTCAGCTCTGACTTTCTCTAAGACTGATTCCTCTCCCCAGGCACCCTTCAACCTGGTCCAACATTCAAGGGCAGAGAAGATTATTTATAAAGCCATTGACTTTTTTTTTTTTTTAGGTAGCCTCTGTGCCTAACATGGGGCTTGAACTCATGACCCTGAGATCAAGAGTCGCTCTCTCTACTGACAGCCAGGTGCCCCCAAACCATTGACTTTTACAGTTGTGTGGGGCCTTAGAAATTAATTAGGTCAGACTTCTGGAGAAGATGGTGGAGTAGGAGGATCCTAGGCTCACCTCATCACATCTAGATAACACCCACATCAGTGTAAATAACCCAGGAAATGACCTGAAGACTGGCAGAAGAGAATCTCCACAGCTAAATGAGGAGAAAAGGCAAATCAGCTGGAGAATAGGGTTTGTTTTATTTTCTGTTTAGTTTTTAAAGTAGGATCCACGTGCCCAGTGTGGAAATCAACATGGGGCTTGAACTCATGACGTGAGATCAAGACCTGAGCTGAGATCAAGAGTCCGATGCTCAACCGGCTGAGCCACCCAGGCGCCCCTGAAGATTTGTTTTTTTCTTTTTTTTTTTTTAATTTTTTTAAGATTTTGGAACACTACATTAAAAACTAATGATGTAATGTATGGTGATTAACATAATAATAAAAAATAAAATAAAGATTTTTAAAAAATTTTATTTGTCTCAGAGAGAATGGGAGAGGACAAGCAGGGGGAGGGAGTGGCAGGCAGAGAGAGAAGCAGGCTCCCCGCTGAGCAAGGAGCCCGACGTGGGACTCGATCCCAGGACCCTGGGATCATGACCTGAGCCGAAGGCAGATGTGTAACCAACTGAGCCACCCAGGCGTCCCTGAAGATTTGTTTTAAATACCAAGTTAACTTACTCTGGTAAATAAGTAGAACTCAATGAAATGATTAAAAAAAAAAAACAAAAGAAATTAATTAGGTCAGTCTCTTGCTTGACAGTTGAGGAAACTGAGGCCCACAGAGAGCACGTGAATTGTTGCCTGTCAGAGGCAAATCTTGTCTGTGGAGCAATTAAAATTCAAACCCAGGGGTACCTGGGTGACTCAGTCATTAAGCATCTGCCTTCGGCTCAGGTCATGATCCCAGGGTCCTGGGATCGAGCCCCACATCGGGCTCCCTGCTCTGCAGGAAGCCTGCTTCTCCCTCTCCCACTCCCCCTGCTTGTGTTCCCTCTCTCGCTGTGTCTCTGTCTGTCAAATAAATAGATAAAATCTTTAAAAAAAAAATTCAAACCCAGGAATCGAAATTGCATACTATGGACCAGAGACATTCAGTCAAACACTCAGTTGTGTTTTTGGGGTCATGTATTCTGTAGTCCTAATCTGACAGGAAGAGTGGTAGCTTCTTTAAATTCTGATGACCAAGTTGAGTGATAGGGGACTCTTGTGTATAATTAAGATTTCTAAAGTTGAGAACTCTACCCCCTGTCGTTCATCCACCAGCCTCTGTTTTTTTTTTTTTTTTTTTTTTAAGATTGTATTTATTTAGTAGGGAGAGAGAGAGGAAGCATAAGCAGGGAGAGTGGCAGGCAGAGGGAGAAGCAGGCTCCTCGCTGAGCAGGCAGCCCGATGTGGGACTCGATCCCAGGACCCTGAGATCATGACCTGAGCCAAAGGCAGATGCTTAACCGACTGAGCCACCCAGGCGTCCCTCACCAGCCTCTGTTTTGACGCCTCGATTGAGAACATGGAGTAACCAAAACGTCACAAAAGGAAGGACCAAGCCACAAATTCAGTGATGAGCTAATTTTTCTTACTTTTCACTCATTTATTCAGTTGGTATGATTTGGGTAAATTACCCATTTTTTTCCCCCCTATTCTTCAACCTGCCAAATGGAAGAGTGAAAGAGAGTATGAGAGCACCAGAGAAAAAACTAGTGGGCTCTGTAGGATGTACAAGTTGAAATGCAGGGTAAGTCTTCCATAAGTGGTTTTTGAACCACCTGGGTCTGCCCCCAGGATTCTTTTATGAGATTTTAGGTACATTACATATACTAGCTTAATGGATGTAATTCTGCTGCCAATTATTTTAGGGGCCATTATTTTTGCTTATTACATACTGGCCAATTAGGTCTGATTCATCACCACTATGTATTTCCCTCTCTTTTTGCTACTGATAAATAAGTTGCTTATTTTATCCAAACTTCCACCCTCATGGGATTTTTGCCCATCAAGCAGAATTTCTTCTTCTAAAATAATAGCACTATCATAATTGTTTTTGTCATTAACAATATCAGCACAGAATTTTTCTCTGGAGGAAATATTAAAGCACCGGAGGGATGGATAAGCAATCTGTATGTGGTACTTGGAGATAAATACTCCCTAGGGCAGGAGAATCAATAAAAGATGTTTCGAGATTGTTTCAATTACTAGGGCGCCATATGCAATCATGTCTTACTCTTCTCCAGGCTTAGGTCTGCAGAGTCAGGGTCAGCCTCTGTGATCTGGTTTCTTTAAAGGAGCAGAGTCTCAGGAAAAAAATGAGCAGGTAATCAAGAGTGTTTAGACTTTTGCAGAGTTGCCCCAGGTGGATCTTCAAACGCCACAGAAGGCCCAGGAAAGCTGACTAAATAGTTCTTAGTTGGAATAGTCTTGGAGAAGCTCTGCACCCAACATGCACACACTTCTGGTTTCATTTAAAGCCACTGATGTAATGAGGGTTATTATTCTTAGCTGACATAGCGTGGATATTAGGCAATCAGACCCTGAAGGTGGATATGTATGAGGGGCTGGAGAGACCAGCTGTTTGTGGGGGTAGGAAAGCTAAAAGAAGGAAATATTTCAGTTTTGGAAAGATGATATTTAGAATTTAATTGAAAGCCTAATAAAAAAATAAAAAAGAAATGGCTAGTAGCAGTTATGGGTCTGAGATTTACCTCACTTATACATGGACAGGCTCAAATAAATATGACGTCTCTTTGTCAGTCCACGATACATCTGAACCCCAAGGAAATGATCTGCTTCTGGACTAGAGAATGTATTTTAAGAAAAAAATATCTAATATATGATAAACATATAAATAAAAATATTTTATATTTATGTATTTAAGAAGGAATCTCTCCATATGGGATCCTTCTGAGTTTGTGGCCTATGAAGACCAAGTACCCATATACATATAGATGAGGTCGGGGGTAGGAGACAGTTGGGGGCCTGGGAATTGGTAAAAAAGGGTTTTGTTTCTTTTTAGCTTTTGATGAAATTTCATTTTTAAAATGCCTTAAGTCTCTAAGGGGAGTCCTAGAATTTGGCTAACTTCCATAGAATGCGTCTACAGCAGAATCAAGGTAATATTGGCCTTAGCTTTTTGGATAGTTGTTTCTTTTCCTTGTTTTTCCAGGAGAGAAGAATAAAAAAGAAGAAAGTAAAGTTATAAAGATGAGATTCTAGGGGCACCTGGGTGGCTCAGTCGGTTAAGCGTCTGACTCTTGGTTTTGGCTCAGGTCATGATCTCAGGGTCGTTCGATCGAGCCCCCACGTCAGGCTCCACACTCAGTGGGGAGTCTGCTTGAGATTCTCTCTCTCCCTCTGCCCTTCCCCCTGCTCGCTCACTTGCTCTCTCTTTCTCTAAAGTAAATAAATAAAATCTTTTTGAAAACATGATATTCTAGACTGACTTGAGTTCTTATCTTAGAGGCAGACACCAGTGGAAAGAATGCAGGCTTTGCAGTCCAAAGGACCTACAGTCTAACTCCAGATGAGCCCTTAACATTGCTATGGACTTGAACATGCTAATCAAACACTTTGGGTTTTGGTCTCCTCATCCGCAAAAGGGAATTAATAATATCTACTTATAGGGCGCCTGGGTGGCTCAGTCGGTTAAGCGTCCGCCTTCAGCTCAGGTCATGATCCTGGAGTCCTTGGATCGAGTCCCGCATCGGGCTCCCTGCTCGGCAGGGAGTCTGCTTCTCCCTCTGACCTTCTCCCCATCTCATGTGCTTTCTCTCTCATTCTCTCTCTCTCTCTCTCTCAAATAAATAAATAAAATCTTTAAAAAAAATAATATCTACTTATAGAGGTGCCTGGCTGGCTCAGTAGGTAGAGCATGTGACTCTTGATCTTAGGGTTATGAGTTAGAGCCCCATGTTGGGTGTAGAGATTCCTTCAAAAAAATCTACTTAGGGGCACCTGGGTGGCTTCGTTGGTTAAGCGGCTGACTCTTGATTTCAGCTCGGGTCACGATCTCAGGGTCCTGGGATCGAGCCCCAAGTCAGGTTCCATGCTCAGCAGGGAGTCTGCTTGAAGATTCTCTCTCTCCCTCTCCTTCTGTCTCTCTTCCCACTTGTGCTCTCACACTCTCTCTGAAATAAACAACTCTTTAAAAAAAATAAAAAATAAAAATAAAAATACCTACTTCTGTGAGTTGATGGACAGAAAGTTTTAGGTACGCAGCAGGCAGGCAATAAGAAGGTAGCTTTATTTATTCTCTGGAACTCTCCTCCTCTCCCCTCTGCTCTCATCCCCTTCCAGAGGACAGGCCCTTCCTCCGCAGGCTGCTCTTCCTCTCTGCTCACCTGTGGTGTCCCGGCAGTCACAGCAGTCCTGGGTGTTGGCGGGATTGGACGTGTTACAGCAGGGTAGGCAACGGTTGTCATCCATAAGCAGCACCAGGCTGGCGGGGCACATGGTACAGTTCTTGGTGCCAGGTCCCTTGCATTCCACACAGCTCTTGTGGCATTTTTCACAGTTAAACTTCTCACCCTGGTAAGAACAATCGGGAGATTCTTTTTGAGTGTGGAGGGATTAACAAGCCACCAGAGTTCCCAGGTGGGAGTTCCATGAGGGAGGGAGGCATGTCCGGGGGACAGAAGAAAGATAACTTGTTCTGGGTCATTTTAACTGTTCAGGGTGAAAGAACCAACTGTCTGCACTTGGAGGAAACCATTGCTGGGTCTCTCCATCTGAGATTTGCTGGTAACAATAGTGGGAGAACAGTCTTCTAGAATGGCTCAAGTTACCAACTGACAGCTAATGTGCTGTACCTGGTCAAGGATAGGTTGTGTCTGGCTCATTACTAAAACTGACCTTCACACTTTAAAAAATTTTCAATTCTTTTGCCCACATTTCAAAATTGGGATATTTCACTTGTCAATCAGTTCCTAGTTTCTCTTTAAAAACTAGACTGTCAACATGGTCATCACTCCCACATGGCAACATCCCAGACAGCTGAGGGGCAGTGACCCTCTTTTTGTGCTCTCCTAGTTGATAGAATCCCCAGCACTTGCTCCAATGTCACCAACACAGGTGACACATCAAATTCCACTTTTCATCAAGTCCGCGCTGGGGTTTTCTTTGACCCAACACCCTTCACTCAGGTACACTACTTAGCTTGGCCTCCGTGGTTGTTAGATGCTTGTGGCCCTGCCCCATTATAATATTTGTGACTGTTTAGCTAAAACAGTGAAATAAGAGATAAGGAGAAAGCGGCTTCCCTCCTGACAAGTTGCTGCTTCGGTGATGCTGGAAATGTAGATGAGGGGAGATGTCTTCCTCTGTTCTGTGTTTTGGAAGGATGGTAGAAAAATTAAGCAATGGAAATTGCCTTTATTGAGCACTTGGGCATGTTTCAGGTGCTGAGAAGGTGCTTTCTCAGCTGTTACTATCTTATCAAATCCTGGGTTAGCTGTCAGGATCCCTGGTTTCAATCCCAGCTTTGTTACTTACTACTCATGTGATCTTTAGCAAATTATCTAATCTCTCTGAAACTGAGGAGTTTCTCCAAGGTGTAAGGATGTGAAGAGAGCTCCTATGTGAATATGTTGGGTCATGTTAATTTCACCATGGAGAGATTTACTTAATTTCTACAGTTTGGAGACACAAGAAGTTAGTGAACTTAATATCCATGGTTTCTAGGCAAGGAAATGAAATATATCTCTCCTAATACACTGGGCAGGGGTGGAGGAAATGGAAGACCAACAGCAGTTATGTAGTTTTGACATTATTCAGGCATTTCAGGTTAGACAGCAGAGGGGTAGGAGAGAAGATATTTCTTCTTTCTTTCTTTCTTTTAAGATTTATTTATTTATTTGAGAGAGAGAGAGAGGGATTGAGTGGGGGAAGGGAAGAGGGAGAAGCAGAGAGAATCTCAAGCAGACTCCACGCTGAATGTAGGATCCGACCTGGGGCTCGATCCCAGGACCCTGAGATCATGACCCTGAGCCAAAATCAAGAGTCCGATGCTTAACTGACTGAGCCTCTCAGGCACCCCAAAGTTTCTTATTTCTGATATAATATTCTTAAGTGGACCTGAAACTTCTAAGGTCATGAACAATGAATGTAGAGGTAAATCTGAGGTCCTCATTATCTAACTTCCCCATTATTTATCTCAGGTCATCTCAGTTCCTTTGGCTGAGATTAAGGCTACAGATGGGTAGTGCCGTTCTTCTGTGATGCAGTGGTAGAAGATTATAAAACTAGAGCAAGTGTAGGAATTTTAGGACTTCTTGACTTTGCCCAGAATGACCTGCGGGAGCGAGCTCCCATGGCTCTGCAGAAATGGGGGAGGGCAGAGTGTGCCCAGCTCTCAGTACCTCTCCCACTCTGTATTCCCCCGCCAGACAGTCCGAGGTGCAGATTCCTCCCATTAGGTGGTAACTCCACACACAGGATAAGCAATTCAATGCTCCTTTTCCTGAAAGAAAAAAAAAAGTGATTCTAAATTATGAGGGCTGACCTTAGATTTCAACCTCTGTCTTGGGTCCAAAACTCTTAAGGAGCAAGGAACATGTCAAGCAAATTGAAGTGGAAGGATGAATTGATTGAGGAGTTGGGGGAAAAAATGTCTACAAGACACCAAGTGCAGACCTAGAAATTATCCACTTAGTCCAATCAAAGTAAACTCTCATTTGGAAATTGAAGGTTTGGAAATGATAGATCTTTTATGACAGCAAAAAGAAAGGTTTTCAGAGAATGAGAAATCATGTAGAAAGGTTCTAAAACTTTTGTCATTCTGCTTGTTGTTTAACTAATATGGAGGAGGAGAATGATACCAGATGATTTGGAGGATCCTGATACTCAGTTGGTGAGGAAATCATGTTTAGGCAGATTCTAAGAAATACTAGACTTAGAATTTAAAATGCCATGGTTAAAAGAATTTAGCAAATCATTTTGTCCAGTTCTTAATTTGAGAAGGGTGGTGGCGGTGGTGATAGATTCCTTTGAAATTCTCTTGAAAGCTAAAAACTTTCTTTTCAAAAATTGGACATGCTATTTATTTATTATTATTATTT